AAAACGGAACCTGTGTCACAACGGGATGTGGCAACAGTCCTTCCGATACATATATAGTTTCCCCGAATCATAGTATCCTAGAACCAAATTTAGATGCCACTTCCACATGTTTTGTGACACTGCGATGCAATATGTCGAAGTGTAGGTTTGTGCCATGTACGTGGCTCGTAGGCAGAGATGGGTGATTTCATGACAGGAGCTATTCGTGTATTGGAGGAATGTCATGCAACAGGAACAACGAAGGGAAGGGCAAGAAAACACACGAATATGCCGAAAAGCCCTATATGCCCTGACGAAGCAATAGCGAAAAGGCCTTCGGCATATTCGTGTGTTCTCTTGCCCTTCCCTTCGTTGTTCCTGTTGCAATCTGTTCACCATGAATTCCACACGAGGGATGTCATGCACTGGGCGTCGGTTATGACAGAGAAGACTTGGAGATGAACGGCGCGGGAAGGTTGAGATAGATTTTTTTTCTAATGATTTAATGTGAATGAATTGTTGAGACATGGAGGCGTGTTAAAGCCAAGAGCCACATCAAAGGAAAGGGCAAGGGTTAGAGACACGCAAAACAAAAGAAAAAGAAGGATAATGATGATAACAATAAAAAAAAAAAAAAACAATACAAAAACACATTATCGGATCCAACCAGATCAGATGTGAACAAGTCATTATACAAGCAGACGGGCCGCAGTTATTTTGAATCGGATTTATGAATTATAAAGCAGACTCCAGTCCTCCCTCCCTCCCCTCCCCCCAGCCTTCCCCACGTCCCCCGCCGCCCCCCCCCCCTCCCTCCCCCCTCCACCTCCCTTCCCCCCACCTCCCTCCCACGCCCTCACCCTCCCCCCCTTCCCCACGTCCCACACCCTCCACCCTTCCCACGTCCCACACCCTCCACCCTCCCTTCCCCACGTCCCCACCCTCCACCCTCTCCCTTCCCCACCCCACACCCTCCACACCCTCCCTTCCCCACGTCCCACACCCTCCACCCCACCCTCCCTTCCCCACGTCCCACACCCTCCACCCTCCCACCCTCCCTTCCCACGTCCCTCACCCTCCCCTTCCACCCTCCCTCCCCACGTCCCCCCCCCTCCCCTCCACCCTCCCTTCCCCACGTCCCACACCCTCCACCCTCCACCCTCCCTCCCTCCACCCTCCCTTCCCACGTCCCACACACCTCCACCCTCCCTTCCCCACGTCCCACACCCTCCACCCCACCCTCCCTTCCCCACGTCCCACACCCCTCCACCCCTCCACCCTCCCTTCCCCACGTCCCACACCCTCCACCCTCCACCCTCCCTTCCCCACGTCCCACACCCTCCACCCTCCACCTCCCTTCCCCACGTCCCCACACCCTCCACCCTCCACCCTCCCTTTCCCCACCGTCCACACCCTCCACCCTCCCCTCCCACCCTCCACCCTCCACCCTCCTTCCCCCACGTCCCACACCCTCCACCCTCCCCCTCCCTTCCCCACGTCCCACACCCTCCACCCTTCCACCCTCCCTTCCCCACGTCCCCACACCTCCACCCTCCACCCCTCCCTTCCCCACGTCCCACACCCTCCACCCTCCACCCTCCCTTCCCTCCCCACGTCCCACACCCTCCACCCTCCACCCTCCCTTCCCACGTCCCACACCCTCCACCCTCCACCCTCCCTTCCCCACCCCACACCCTCCTCCCCCACGTCCCACACCCTCCACCCTCCACCCTCCCTTCCCCACGTCCCACACCCTCCACCCTCCTCCTCCCACGCCTCCACTCCCACCCCACGTCCCAACCCTCCACCCTACACCCTCCCTTCCCCACGTCCCACACCCTCCCCCCTCCACCCTCCCTTCCCTCCCCCCCCACACCCACCCCCTCCACCCTCCCTTCCCCCGTCCCACAACCCTCCACCTCCACCCTCCCTTCCCCCCGTCCCACACCTCCACCTCCACCCTCCCTTCCCCACGTCCCACACCCTCCACCCTCCACCCTCCCTTCCCACGTCCCACACCCTCCACCCTCCACCCCTCCCTTCCCCACGTCCCACACCCTCCACCCTCCCTCCCCACGTCCCACACCCTCACCCTCCACCTCCACCCTCCCCCCCACGTCCCACACCCTCCACCCTCCACCCTCCCTTCCCCACTCCCACACCCTCACCCTCCACCCTCCCTTCCCCACGTCCCACACCCTCCACCCTTCACCCTCCCTTCCCACCCCACACCCTCACCCTCCACCCTCCCTTCCCCACGTCCCACACCCTCCACCCTCCACCCTCCCCTCCCCACGTCCCCCGCCCTTCACCTCCACCCTCCCTTCCCCACGTCCCCCGCCCACACCTTCCCCCCTCACCCTCCCTCCCCCCGACAACCCTCCACCCCCTCCACCCTCCCTTCCCCCCGTCCCACAACCCTCCACCCTCCACCCTCCCTTCCCCACGTTCCCACCCTCCCCCCTCCACCCTCCCTTCCCCATGTCCCACACCCTCCACCTCCCTTCCCCACGCCCCCGCCCTCACCCTCCCTTCCCCACCGCCCCACACCCTCCACCCCCTTCCTCACGTCCCACACCCTCCCACCCTCCCTTCCCCACGTCCCCCGCCCTTACCCTCCACCCTCCACCTTCCCTTCCCCACGTCCCACCCTCCACCCTCCACCCTCCCTTCCCACGTCCCCCGCCCTTACCCTCCACCTCCACCCTCCCCCCCACGTCCCCCCCTCACCCTCCACCCTCCCTTCCCCACGTCCCACACCCTCCCCACCTCCCTTCCCCCCCCCTCTCCACCCTCCACCCTCCCTTCCCCGTCCCACAACCCTCCACCCTCCACCCTCCTTCCCCACGTCCCACACCCTCCCCCCTCCACCCTCCCTTCCCCGTCCACACCCTCCACCCTCCCCCCCCACGTCCCCCGCCCTTACCCTCCCCCTCCACCTTCCCTTCCCCACGTCCCACACCCTCCACCCTCCACCCTCCCTTCCCCACGTTCCCCGCCCTTACCCTCCACCCTCCCTTCCCCACGTCCCCCGCCCCACCCTCCACCCTCCCTCCCCACGTCCCCCGCCCACACCTTCCACCCTCCCTTCCCCACGTCCCCCGCCCACACCTTCCACCCTCCCTTCCCCACGTCCCCCGCCCTTCACCCTCCGCCCTCCCTTCCCCACGTCCCCGCCCACACCCTCCCTTCCCCACGTCCCACACCCTCCACCCTCCTTCCCACGTCCCCGCCCACACCTTCCACCCGTCCCACCCTCCGCCCTCCCTTCCCCACGTCCCCCGCCCACACCCTCCCTTCCCCACGTCCCACACCCTCCACCCTCCCTTCCCCACGTCCCCCGCCCTACCCTCCCTTCCCCACACCCTCCGCCCTCCCTCGGTGTTAAGAATCCCTGTAAACCGAGCGCGCCGAGGGAGACGCCAGTGGGTTCGTCATGTGACAAATAGCGTAGCCGTAGCGTGTCATGGGATACCTATGTCATGCGGTAATGTCGGATGGCGGTTAGCGCGCGTATCAGCGTTTTGTTATTCCAGGACTTTTAATCCCGCTGATTGTTGCTGTCTTCTTTTGAGGTTTGTCTGCAGCGGTGTCTTATCTTGATTGTGTTTATCTTGTTGTCAGATCTAGACACACACTCGCGATGATCTGTTGTGATGGCCGTCTGGCGTCTTTCCTTTCATCATTGCACGTTGTTTATTGATTCCCTTTTCTGTATGAAGAGAGGGAAAAATATCTGTTAGCACCTTGCACCTTTTGCAGGTTGCGACGGTAATGCAAACTCCCATTGCAGTCCGTTCCTTGGGGGTCTTCTTTCCAATTATTTCTCGTAGAGTGGATATAAGAGGCAATAATCAATAGAGCGAAAATAACAGTCCGTTTCCAAACACATTTAACGTAGGAGAGTAGCGCCACAGGTCGATTCTTGGGGGAATTACAAACCGCTACTCGAAATATGAATAAAACATCGCCCTGTAGGTTGGCTGAAGTTTCGTAAACGTATTTGTGTCAGAAACCGAGGACGCAAAACCTTTTCACTGTGTTTTTCTTTTTTTTTCTTGTCACTGGTATTTAAAAGAAATGAGAGATTGGGAAAAGAAGAGAGGGAGAGGATAGGAGAAAGTAGATGAGGGAGTAAGTAAAAGAGAGAGAGGAATAGAATGGAAGAGTGAGAGAGAGAAAAAAAATTGCTTAAGTGGAGAGGTAGGGAGAGACTGAGTGAGTGAATGAGACAGACCGACAAACAAACAAACAAAGTGGGAGGACAGGAATGGAGTACAATAGTGGCAGACAGACAAACAAAATCTCAACAGGCGTAATAATATACCACGTATCGACCTGCAACAATATTGCAAACACTGCATTCATAATGTCGCGTTCCGATAAAAGCGATATACTCTCACAGAAGTTGTACATAAACACCCTTACTCACTCATTCACAATTGCTCTTCATCAAAGAAATGCCAAGA